ACAACCAGGAGGCCTGGCCCCGTGCTCAGTGTACCAGTAGCGACGGGGAGAGGAACCCACCACTGGAGTGCACGTGTCAGATCTGGAAGCCGTCTTTAACATTGGGCCTTCAGGCCAGCCACATTTTCTACCGTGGGAACGTGGGAGGGGTTACTTTCGTTAGGGGTGTTACTTGGAACCCTGACAGCATGGCACTTCAACAGAGTGTATTGAATTGCCATGGAGTGCACAGAACTTCCACAGAGTGCGTGTCACTTCCACCGAGGGCACAGAACTCTCACGGAGTTAATAGAACATCCCCAAACAACCCATCCATGTCACAGTCCTGGAATTCCCGCGGAGTACACAGAACTTCCATGGATTATACAGAACGCCTACGGATTGTACTGCACTTCCGTAAAGCGCACCGAACTTTCACAGAGTGCACAGAACATCCGTGGAGTTTACGGAACTTCCACGGAGTGCGTGGAACTTCCGCGAAGCGCACCGAACTTCCAGGGAGTGCCTAGAACTTTCTTTCACAGGGTGCACTGAACAGCCAGAGATTGCGTGGAACTTTGATGAAGGGCGCGGCACTTCCATTCATGCACTTCCACGGAGTGTAGAGAACGTCCAAGGAATGCATGGAACTTTCATGGAGTGCGGAGACAGGACAAGGCGCTGCAGGTAACGGTAACCCCCCTTTCCAGTACCCCGAGGCTCAGCAAAGGGCTTGCCAAAGTGTCACCATCTTTTGGAAACCCAGAATGAAACTAGCATACTTCCACCACCACGTTTTGTAAATTTGATAAAACCCATTCAACATACAGCGTGCTCCTATCAGACCAAGCTGGCCAGCTTCTCAAAGGTTCACATAACATGGTTAAAACAGGGTTGGCTAGTTTACTTTCTGCCTGTGAGGCAAAGCCGGAGTTTTGTTCTGTAAAGCACAGTTCAGGAATTGGCAGCTTTAGCATGTTGTGCGAACGCAACCCGAGTGACTCGGCAAGAAACAGCATTTTAAAAAACGGGAAAGCCTCCCCAGGTGGGCCCAGCCGGGGGCTGCTGAAAGCTAGGGCGAATTTCCCAGCCTGACCCACTTCCCTCCCATCACAATCAGCCTGTCCGCTGACGGCGGAACACCCAGGAATTCTGTGCTCAGAGCTGGTGTGACTGGAGTACGTTTGCAGTGGTGGGATCCCCATGTAGCACCAAGGAGAAGGGGAATCGTGGGGGTCTCTTCCCCCCCGTCAGAAAGTTCTTGTTCCTAGAGAGGAACAGCAGCCCTGCAGGAGCTCAGAAAGTGCGGTTCACTTCTGTGCGTGTTGGCGTGCATGGGGCCCGCTGGAACCACGTAAAACACAGGAGAAGAGGAGAAACGAAACGGACAATGGTAATTTTCGGAGAGCTCTTTCACCGTCCGAAACAGAATCCTGCCACCCTTCCACAGCCAAAAACAAAATTAAGGGGGGGGGAGGAGAGGGAGAAAATGAGTAAAGAAACCAGGAGGGCCACCCCCAATGCTTTGTGCAGCCTTCCCGTTCTTTTTTTCTTAGCAGCAGATAATCGTCGCAACTCGTTTCGCGATCGCTGTTCCTTCCTGACTTACCAACAGTACCTTTGCCCACACACAGGTGGGTGGGGCAGTGCCCGGGCCTGCCCCTGCCTGCCCACCCCCTCAAGGAGGAGGAGGAGTTTTGCAAAGGCAAGGAAGAATCCAATGAGGAAGCGCCAGGATGAAGAGAACCCCAAAAACACACACACACACACAAAGAAAAGAATCTCCTTTTTTTGTATCTCGCGCAGATCTGGAATAGGACACTGTACGCTTGGGAAGTGGGGCATTCCGGTCCCTCCAGGCCACCTATGGGGGTATCAAGCATCTCTCACTGTCGTTCTCCTGCTTTGCTCTTCCTCCTCCTCCTCCTCCTCTTCCTCCTCCTCCTCCTCCTCTCTGCAGCAAAACCCCACCCCTCGTGTGAGGAAGAAGGTTACCAAGCCAAGCCACACACCCCTGACCAGCCCTATTTGACCGAAGACGGAGTCCGCTCTGCACCACTGTATTTCAAGAGATGACTGTAGTCTGTGAGGGTGTGATGAGGTCCTGGCGTCGATGTCCGCTGGGCTCGGGCGTGGGTGGCCTGACCTTCCCCGCTGTTGAACGTGTGGGTGCGCCTGAGGTGAGCGCTCCCCTTGCTGCCCGTGCTGTTACTATTGAAGTTCAGCTTCTCGGGGTTCCACTGATTGCCTGTGTCCCCGGTCGGAGCGGATACAACCCGCCGCCGATCCGGGCTGTCGTGCGGCGTGATCGGCAGCTCGCTGCCGTATGAGCTCCGAGTCCCGCAAGGTCGGTGAGCCAATGGGCCAGGCTGCGATTGGATACTTCTCGGTCCCTCGCCACCGCTAACTGGGAGATAGCGCATGTCTAGCGAGAGGTCTGCTCCTTCGCTGTCCAGTTCTTGGTCCATCAACACGGTCTGGCAGGAAATGGGGATGACTCGTCCAGAACTCAGGTGCGACGGCACCGCGGTGTGTCCCGCATGGAGAAGGATAACCGAGGATGGCGGCTCTCCGCCGCGCAGGGAAGCATTAATGAGATTGTGGCTGTACTCCCAGCTGCACGGCTTGGGGTACCGCTTTTGTTGCAAGGGGGTCTGCTCTGGAGTGGGGAGTACCCCTGAATCGAGGTCATGTGGGCCCATCTTAATCAGTCCTTTGGGCCACCCGTTCTGCATGAGCGGAGCCAACAAGTTCTCCGGTTGGCCGCCGGGTCCCCGGGAGCGCCGATCTCCCAGCCGGCTGACGCTGACCACGGATTCTCCATGCGCAAGGATGTTCTCCTTATCTCTGCGGCGAGCCAGTTCCTTGCGGTCTCGATGTCCGATGAACCAGCAGACGCTAAAGCCCGAGATCACCGCTCCGATGACGAAGGCAGCCACAGAAGAGATGACCAGCAAGTTGACGGACACCAGCCCATTGGGTTCATCCACAAAGCTTTCGGTCACCAGGCCTGTAGGAATAACATGGAATAACAGGGTTGGAAGGGGCCTTGGAGGTCTTCTAGTCCAACCCTCTGCTCAAGAGGGAGACCCTGTATCATTCTGGACAAACGGTTGTTGGAGAATAGTTAACCCCCTCTTCTGTGAGACAGCCCCTCCAATAATGGAAGACAGTTATTGCATCACCCCTAGTCCCCCTCTTCATCAAAATAAATTGAATCAACATATAATAAATATAAATAAAATAAAATAAAACTGCCCGAGGTACGACCGACAAACAAAGCCTAAGGATTTGGTGAAATAAATACTACTTTGCTCGTATTTTAGTTACCTACAGATTGTCCTCAACGTATGACCAGAATTGTAAGCCCAAAATTGCTAAGTGAGACATTTAAGTGAATTTTGCCTCATTTTACGACCTTTTTTGCCACATTTGTTAAGCAAACCACTTCAGTAGTTCATTTAGTGACAAGGTTGTTAAGTGAATCTGGCTTCCCCGTTGACTTTGCTTGTCAGAAGTTCGCAAAAGGGGATCACATGACCCCGGGACCCTGCGACCGTCATAAATATGAGTCAGTCGCCAAGCCTCTGAATTTTCAGCCTGCGACCATGCTCCGATGGTCGTTAAGTGTGAAAAACGGTTGTAAATCACTTTTTAGTGCCGTTCTAACTTTGAACGGTCATTAAATGAGCGGTTGCAAGTCGAGGACCACGGCAGTTTTCTTTTATTTTCATATTGTACACCGTCCAGCGTTACCCTGAGGTAAGATGGTCAGCCAATAAGTTGGATAAATAAAGAAAATTAAAATGAAATTAATGATTTATTCCAGGGGTGTCAAACTCGAGGCCTGCCAACCAGATCCAGCCGATGGGGGGCTTAAATCTAGCCCATGGGGCTGGCCCGGAAATATCTATTTGGCTGTCGGCCAAAATAGGCGGGGGGGGGGGGCAGGTGTGCAGCCCTGAGGCTCCCATGACCTGTGTGTGGCCCCCTATGGACCGTGTGCACCCCTGAGGCCCCTGTGTGACCCTCTGTGGCCCCTGTGTAATCCTGAGGCCCCCATGTGGCCCTCATGTGGCCCCCATGCGGCCTCCTGTAACCCGTGTGCACCCCCGAGACCCCCATGTGGCCCCCTGTAACCCATGTATACCCCCCAGGTCCGCATGGCCCATATGCGGCCTTCTGTGGCCCATGTGTAACCCAAGGCCCCCGTGGTACGTGTGTACCCCCAAGGCCCCCATGTGCCACCCCTGTGGCCCCCTGTGATCCGTGTGCACCCCTGAGAACCCCATGGCCCATGTGTGGCCCCCATGCGGCCACCTGTGGCCCATGTGTACCTCCGAGGCCCCCGTGTGGCCCCCTGTGGCCTGTGTGTACCCTTGAGGTCCCCATGGTCCATGTGCGGCCCTTGTGTACCCCCAAGGCCCCCATGCAAGGCCCCCCTGCAGCCCCCTGTGATCTGTGTGCACCCCTGAGGCCCCCATGGCCTGTGTGTGGCCCCTGTGCGGTCCCCTGTGGCCCGTGTGTACTTCCAAGGCCCCCCCTGTGGCCCCCTGTGGCCTATGTGTACCCCCGAGGCCCCAATGGCCCATGTGTGGCCCCGTGGCCCCCATGTCACTTGGCCTGTGCGCAGCCCGCTGTGGCCTGTGTCGTCCGTCCCCCCCCCTCCCC